CCAATATTGTTCGTGTGTCTGTCCGTCCGTCTGCCCGTCCGTCTGTCCGTCCGTCTGTCCGTCCGTCTGTCCGTCCGTCTGTCCGTCCGTCTGTCCGTCCGTCTGTCCGTCCGTCTGTCCGTCTGTCCGTTTCTACGCAAACTAGTCCCTCAGTTTTAAAGCTATCTGAATGAAACTTTGCATATAGTCTTCTATGTACTCTCACTGCTATATATGGCGGAACGGGCCGGATCGGACGACTATATCATATAGCTGCCATACAAATGTTCGATGGCTGTTTTTCAAAATTTTTGCACCATTTTTAAGATATGGCCTTTTTTTATTATTTCAGATTTTCTTTGTTAATTTTATAAAAATCGGTATATGTTGAGAAAATCGGTATATGTTGAGAAAATCGGTATATGTTGAGATCGGTATATGTTGAGAAAATGTAAAGCTGGGAATGCAAAACTGTAACTGTCAAACTGTAAACATAATAAGTATAGGTAAAATGAAATAAAACTCTGTTTTGTGTGTGTTTTCAGCATTATAATTTATAATGTAAATGTCAAAACCAATCTGAAAGGGTATACAAACTTCGGCATGCCGAAGTTAGTTTCCTTTCTTGTTTAAAATGTCATTAGACTTTAACACAAATAATATTTTAAGACACCTATCCTTGCCTCTGACCACCTGATGTGAGTCGGAGCGTATCATTAAAAAACTCTCCTTATCCGGTCTGAGGTAAGGATCTGGAATTAAAATGGCAGATATTTGCTATTCTTAATAAATAAATAAATAAATAAATAAATAAATAAAAATTGTCGAATTTAGACTTTTGTAAATAAATAAATTTGTTTGGAAAGATAAAAAAAAAATAAGGTTAATTCGGTGCAAAAATGCCCACTTTTCAATACAATGTTGTGGCGAAACGGCTAAAGTTAGCTTAACGAATTAAATACCATATAATAACACAACATTTGAACAGTTTTTGATAAATTTTGTATTGAAAAATATTTAGAGGTAGAGGAGTTACAGGGAATCTCCCGAGTCGCCTCCAAAACAAAGTTGGTTTGCGGTGTACATCCTAACTGTCCACAGAATCATCCGATCTAAAAAAATTATACCTCATTCGTTAAAGGATAAGTGTCCCGAGGTATTCACGAAGCGTTTTTATTTTTAAAATCTTTTCCCGATTTTTTATAAAAATTGGAAGTCAAAACTGTGATTTTTGACTCCAAAAATTAATTAATTTGTTAAATAAAAATTATAATAAAATTAAAACTCGACGTGAGTACCTGTAGATTTATCTTAAGTTATGTTCCAAAATTCAACCCGATTGGTTCAGTTATGAGTTATCGTGTACACCGATTTTCAAAATGGCATTTTTCAAGAGAGCGCTTTAAACTTTGTGATTCTCATGCATTGAACACCAACCGACCTTCGTTCAACTCCGCATAACTTCGTCAATTTTACTATGATCGATGTAAAACTTGGACACAATATTCTTAAGATGTTGAACTTTCGAAATAAAAAATAAAAAAAATTTACGAAAAAAAAATTAAATAAAATTTTTTTACCTTTTTCTGCCCAAAGCAGTCTATAAAAGCTGAAGCAGATAAAATCATATTTTATTGATTGTACAACAATTACCAGTCAAATGCCAATTATCTTATTTGGATCAAAAGATATCATTTTTGAAATGAAATATGAAAAAAGGCGCTACTGTGCGCTAAGATGTTGCAATTCAAAAAATTATATTAACTTACGATGAATCCGGAAGTAAAAATACTTTTATAGTGTTTTTACTTTTCAATGGACTTAGCCAGTGGTGAAATTCATCAGCCCAATTCATGACTGTACTCTTTGGACAAAGTACCAACATTTTGTACGTATTTAATTCTTCATAAGATATCACCGTATGCAGCAAAGCAATTAACTAGGATTACAAAATATTTAAACATATATATATTTTTTTAATGAGTTTTAGTATTTATTTTACCTGAAGGGTCTTTCCCAGACCCATGCAGTGGGCCAATATACATCCAGAACCTGAATTTGTATTAGACAGATCTGTGCCACCATAACAAGAATCGTACATAAATTTAACACCATCTTTTTGATGAGGCTTTAATTGCTTGACTATATCTTTGTCAACTGCAATAAAAGTTTTGGTGCTTTCAATGTAATCAAGTATTAAATCAGTTTTTATTGTAAATGTAGTGCGGTTCTTAAGAGCTTTTGATAATTCAAAACTTTTTTTTTCCAACCTTCGAATTCTTTCATTTTCATCTTTTTGAGCTGCTCGTGTTTCAATAGCCAGTTGGTCGATTCGCAGCATCGGTTTAATAAACCTGGATTGTTGAACTTTATGTTCCATATCTGAATCATCACTTTCGGAACTGAGTAAAATTGATGATGGGTGTTTCAGTTCAGAATCAGAGTATAACTTTGACGTCTTCGGTGTGTTTATTATAGAATCATTTGCATTTGAATTAAATCTAAATTCAGTTGTAATTTCTTTGATTGTATTCTTATTTTTATTTTTTTGAGTAGAAAATAAAAGATTGCTATCAGATTCAAAAGCATGGAGAAACTTGTCAACAGTATTAGTCGTAAAGTCTGGTGCCGAATCTTTTGAATTTCCGTAGTTGCTTTGATTTGATAACCCAGAGTCACTATTTGAGTCATTTAAAAGTTGATGCTTAATTTGTTCATTGTAGCGTGATATAAATTCGACTTCTGTTATACTATTTTTTTTATTCTAGAATTAAGTAAAAATAATAATTATTAATTTTAATAATAATTATATGAATTTATTACAATGAATGTTAACTGAAAATTATTGAATTATATATTTCCGGATCTGGAAGACAACTTACATGATAGATTGGTTCACTTTCGTTCATATCCAATTCATCTTCCAAGTAAAGAGTTGATTTGAGTTCACGCTTCTCCATTAATTTTTCGATATCCTTCTTTCTATGGTGAATTTGAGTTTTTTGCTGTTTGTGTATGCTTAGCACATTTAAATTTATCAATCTATATTTAAAAAAAATGAGTGGATAGTAAAAATTTTGTATTTTATTGCAGAGAAATAAAAGTTTATTTTCTTATTGCTAAAAATGTATTCATTTGTAGATCTAATCTCCATTTGTTAATATGTCTTGAAGCCGAACTAAACCACGAGTTCAGTTAAGGGGGGGGTAAGGTTAATTCGGTGCAAAAAAGGCCACTTTTCAAAAAGTTATTGTGGCGGAATGGCTAACGTTAGCTTAATGAATTAAATACCATATAATAACACAACATTTGAATAATTTTTAATAAATTTTGTATTGAAAAATATTTAGAGGTAGAGAAGTTATAGGGAATCTCCCGAGTCGCCTCCAAAAAAAGTTGTTTTGCGGTGTACATCCTAACAGTCCACAGGATCATCCGATCTAAAAAAATTATACCTCATTCGTTAAAGGATAAGTGTCCCGAGGTATTCACGAAGAGTTTTTATTTTTAAAATTTTTTCCCTATTTTTTATCAAAATTTGAAGTCAAAACCCCGATTTTTGACAAAAAAATTAAGTTAATTTGTTAAATAAAAAATATAAGAAAATTAAAAATTAAAAAAAGCTCCACGTGAATACCTGTAGAATTATCCAAAGAAGTTATGTTCCAAATTTCAAACCGATTGGTTCAGTAGATTTTGAGTTATCGTGTACACCGATTTTCAAAATGGCATTTTTCAGGAGAGCGCTTTAAACTTTGCGATTCTCATGCACTGAACACCAACCGACCTTCGTTCAACTCCGCATAACTTTGTCAATATTCCTATGATCGATGTAAAACTTGGACATAATATTCTTAAGATGTTGAACTTTCAAAATAAAAAAAAAAAAAAATTTACGAAAAAAAAATTAAATACCTTACCCCCCTTAAGGGGGTCTTCTCATTCAAAAGCCGTTTTTTGGACCCTTTTTAAAAAAATTCTTATTTGAAAACGCAAAGAATAATTGAAAACTTTTTTTATTTATTGTATTCAAAAATATTCAAAGTAACTAAAAAAGTTGTTCTTGCCTCGATACGAGGGTTGTTCAAAGAGTAATGAGACTTCAAACTTGGTGGTCGAAAAAAAGGTGTCGTCCTGGCGGCCACGATTCAGGGTCTCCAGAGCGTCCGAAATGAAAAATAAAAACGGGGTTATAATCAGAATAGATGTCATTTTCGGCTGACGGAACAGATTTTTTTTAAAAAATTTTTAAAACAAAATGGCGGCCATTCAAAAAAAAAAAATTGATTTCGGACGGTTTTTTTTTGTAGTTTAGTGTAAAAAAAAATAGAAAAAAAAATTTAAAAAAAATCTGTTCTGTCAGCCGAAAATGGTGACAATTCTGCGTCGATTCCACTTTGTTTCATGAAAATCGGTTCAGTTGAACTGGAGATATCATGGCCGCCAGTTCGAAAAACGTGGTTTCGAGATAAACGCGTTTGAAGTTGGAAAAAAGCTCATTTTGCATAGATCTTGCTTCACAAAAAAGGCTGTATCTTCTAAAGTATTTCGAATTTCTAAAAATCCTTTTGGGGACATATACACACCATCCCAAGCTATAAATAAATGCAAAAAAAAAATCGAAAAAAAAGATGCCCAATGAGAAGACCCCCTTAAGGGGGGATATACATGTAAACGGTCAAAATTTAGACATTTTTCGTGGTTTGTATGAAATTGTGTCGGAATTTTGGTATATTTAACCCTGAGTAGTTTTGGTTTATGCTGTTGCATTTCCGCAGACGCAGCTCGACGCAGCAGATGTAAGTTGATTTTGTCTAGAATAGATCCACAAAGGTCGTAGTAATAGTGTAGTAGGTGGCTCAGCCCATCCAAAAAGATATAGACTACTTTAGCCAGAAAAAAGTGAAAAAAATTGAACACCTGGCAGGTAGCGATTTACATATGCAAGCACAAACCAAATTCTCTTTTTGTTTGGATTGGCTTACAGTTTATGAATGTGTCTATTATTTAAAGCAAAAATCATGACGGTAGGTAATCTATTTTTGTGTAATATTACGACTTTTTCGATTTTTGCAACGGCTTTTGTTCGAGAGGCGCTACTGTGCGACGTTTTGTTTTATATTTTCTTTCAAAAGGCCAACTTATGAAAAATCGTCAATATTTGCATCGCAAAGTTCATACATTTTGGAAATGGAGGGTATCACGAAACACAGTGACAGCAAGCTGCATGTTTGTAGTTCTTTAAAAACCCGCTCAAAAAGGCTGCAGCAACTCCACCAACGGCTTCAATATGGATATGTTGACGTCCAGAAGTCTTTGTGCTCCTGGAGACTCTCTGAACAGCTGTGTTATTGTCAGCCTATTATCGACAATAGACTTCATCATGGTATAATTAGAATTCCAGCGAGTTGGACATGCCGGTTTCACTGTGGTGTTAAGCCGGTGTTGCAAGTTCGCCTTCTTGATATATTTTACAATTTTCTTGCAAGCGTGCACGGTTTCATCCAATTCGGTTGTTTGCTCAAAAGATTTTTGTAAAACATTGGCGAAAAGATGGCTGCTGCAATTTAAACGTATATTGTTTTCCAACGCCTTTTTAATATTCACTCCTCTATCCGTAACAATTGTTATGTTTTTTATGTTTTCAACAATATATTCTAAAAACAAGATTTTTATTTTTTCCAAAATATTTTCACCTGTAGATAATCCATAGATTTGATTCCCAGAATGATGTCATGAAGTTTATAATTTTTTTTAGGTAGTATAATATGACACCCAAAAAATTCCATTGGACGTATTGGTCTGTCCACATATCTAGCGTGGCTGCCACTCCTCCGCTTTCCATTACATCTTTAACATCCTCAGCAACTATTTTCCTTTTTTCCATGGCTAGTTTTTCCGCATTCCGGCTTAATGTTATCTCATCGGGTATTAGGTCGTCCACGTCCACGTTTTCGACATAGGTGGCACCGATTTTGATGAAAAAGTTGACCAAGTTTTTGAATCCCGATCCGGAAACTGCAGAAAATGGACAGTGTCGCACAACCCACTCCGTGCACTTTATAGAGGCTTGTTTTTTGTCACTCTCTGACACTTTTTTAACTTCTTTGGGTTGCTTCAATTCTACACAACATTTGTGGCGAGATAGGAATTACTCCTCCTAGGCCCGATTTGCCCAGTGCGCTTTCTCCGTCTGTCAATTCCGTCCCAAAAAACTAACCAACTCCCTTGGTATCTCCTATCAGAATGCAAGAGGCTTACGCAGCAAGCTTCCAAAATTGCATTCTGACAGTGTCACATTTGCTTCCCAAGTTATTGTGTTCACAGAAACCTGGTTAAAGCCGGAGATTTTGAGATCCGAAGTTTTTCCAGCTGCGTTTACCGGATAGATCGGCCTATCAGACGTGCGGGAGGTGTCCTTATAGCGGTCGACTCCACTCTCACGTCCGATTTAATAACTTTCGAGGAATGCAACGATGTTGAATTCCTTTGCGTGAAGCTATTAGTTAATGGTAGTTTTTGTTACATGTTTCTTCATTCCTCCACTCTCGGAACTTCCTATTTATTAGAACCATCTTTCCGGTATTCAGTTGGTCTCCAAAAGACTTTCGGATAGGGACCATTTAGTAGTTCTTGGTGATTTTAACATCCCAGGGGCTATTTGGTTCCTAGATAATTTCACTAATACACTTTTTACCACAACACATCATGATTTTATTGCTGGCTTGTTTGACATTTCGCTGTCCCAAGTCAATCATGTACGAAATTCCTTAGAGCGCTTGCTTGATCTTTGTTTTGTCTCTGATCCGGCAAGAGTTAGTTTAGCTAGGGTGGCGCCCCTGACGCAACCCGAAGATCCCTATCATCCCACTTTCGATGTGACTATCGACATGGGGAGTTTCACGGAATAAAACTGACTGTCCAGCCCAAGAAGTCTTCTGCTTTAGCAAGACGGATTTCGTACGGCTGAATAATTTTATAATTGATTACAACTGGTTCGATCTATACACATGCACTGACATGGCGGAAGCCGTGGATATTTTTTATAGTGCTATGAATTCATTTTTTATTGAATGTGTTCCGTTATACTGTCCGTCTACATCAAATAAGCCTCCTTGGTTTAACAAAGAGTTGACCCGCCTTAAAAATAGAAAATCAAATCTTTATGCTAAATATCAACGTACCGGTTCTCCAACTGTCCTATCTAGTTATTTATCAACTCGATCCACTTTTACCGTCCATAACGCGCAGTGCTACAAAAATTATTTGACTCGTTGCAGGTCCCAGTTTTCTGAAGACCCAAAACAGTTCTATAATTTTGTTAAATCTAAGAGTAAACCCATTATTCATCCGTCCTCGCTCTCTTTTGATAATACAACAGCAGATCTTCATCGTATTAAACCAGTTTTTTTAGCAGGTCCCGATGGAATACCAGGCTGTGTGCTTAGGAATTGTGCCGAAGCCCTGTGCAATCCCCTTCTCAAATTGTTTACCTTATCCTTAGAAACCTCCCACTTTCCCCTTATTTGGAAGGAGTCATTCGTTATTTCTCCCCCCCACAAAAAAGGTAGCAAATTGGAGGCCAACAATTACAGAGGTATCTCCAAGTGGTCGGCAATCCCTAAACTGTTCGAAAATGTTATTACTCCTCATCTGCAGCACCTGTGTAGGTCAATTATTTCTCCATGTCAACATGGTTTTATTAGGCGAAGATCAATTACAACCAATCTTTTGGAGCACACTTCCTTTATTAAAAAGGGCTACCGAAATAACTTTCAGACAGATGTAATCAATACTGATATCAGTAAAGAATTTGACTCTGTTAACCATTCTCTTCTTGTTCGGAAACTCGATCTAATGGGATTTTTGATTGATCTTCTTAATTGGATTTCATGTTATCTAAATGGCAGGACGCAAAAGGTCCTTTTTAAAAATAAACTATCTAATGTTCTTAGGGTTATATCTGGCGTCCCGCAAGGGAGTCATTTGGGTCCCCTACTGTTTACATTATTTATCAACGATCTGCCCGAAGTTTTGACCAACTCCAGAGTACTTATGTATGCTGATGACGTCAAGCTTTGTGTTCAATATAACGATGCTACTAGCCAATCAGACTTACAGACAGATCTCAACAATTTTCAAACATGGTGCTGCGTGAACTTATTAAACTTAAACGGCTCTAAGTGCAAGCTAATGACATTCTCCCGTGTCACTCCGAAGCCTGCAACTTATACGCTAAACGGCTGCTCTTTGGAAAAAATTAATATAGTTGATGATTTAGGTGTCCGTCTGGATCCTAAACTCGACTTTATCGATCATATTTCGTGCATGGTGAATACAGCCAGGGGTGTGCTTGGTTTCATTAAACGGTGGTCGAAGGAATTCAATGACCCCTATGTTACAAAATCTTTATATACTTTACTTGTTCGTCCTATCTTAGAATATGGATCCAGCGTTTGGATCCCCCAGTACGGCATCCACAGTAAACGTATAGGATCCCCCAGTACGGCATCCACAGTAAACGTATAGAATCAAAAGAACTTCTTACTTTTCGCTTTACGCGGCTTAAACTGGAATGCAAACCAGAGGTTACAGTCTTATTCTAGTAGACTCTTACTAATTAACTTATCCTCTTTATCTAATCGTAGAACCGTGCTAGGTATTACATGTGGTGATGTGGAAAGTGCTGACTTGCTGGGTCAGCTTAATTTTCACGTACCAATAAGAAACACTAGATCCTTTTTCCATTAGTTTTGCCCCACTGTAGAACTTCCTTTGAAATGCATGAACCCTTTAGAGTCCTTTGTGCAAATTACAATGATTTGTACACCTTAACATCTAATGTTGATAGCCTCCCAAAACTAAAAACTTTCATCTTAACACTCTTAGTACGCATACAAGCAACCAACCCGCCAGCACGCCAGTAGTAGTTTCCTCGCATCCTTTTCTATTTATTTCCTTCGCGCCCACTAACTGCTAACAGAACAAGCACGTGCTTGGTGTCGCAAGTTCCACTTGATATGTACTGCACATAGTGCATCTATATACGTCTTGCAAAAAAAAAAAAATATAGGGGAGAGTGGGGATAGGTGAACCACTACACTAAATTTGAAAAGCAAATAAACTTTACAAAACAAAAGATAGTGTTTTTGCATAATACTTTATATTCCAAGGAATGTGTCGATCATACACACATTCATATGGTTTTATTACACACCTGCAGTTGCGTAAGTTGACATTGTCTATATAAGTAATTTTATAAGGGTCATTCGGAATTTATACTTTGACCGCAATTTTTTTTCAAAATTTTTACGCGATGGAAACATTTCGTTTTTGAATTAGCAATATTCAGACAAAGAACTTTCACAAGCAGTCGCCATTAGTCACCGTGCAACAAAAGGTTAGAATTTTGTCGATCTGTTTTACCAAGCTAACTTAGCCATTATATGAGAACATATATATTGATATATTATATATTGATATATTTATATGGTATTATCTCTAATCCTTCCACAGTTAGCTAATTCAACAAAAAAAAAATGATGACAGTGAATATGACTTGGTACCACCTGATGGCGGCTGGGGTTGGTTAGTGCTTTTAGGATCGTGTTTGACAAATATCCTCATTCCTGACACGTTTAAAAGTTTCGGTGTTCTATTCGTTGAATTCACTGAAGTCTTCAATTCATCGCCTACAAAGGCTTCATGGATACCAGCGTTGTGATACTTTCTCTACAGTTCATTGGAAATTTTAAAGCTTGTTCTAGACTAGTCAAATCTTACGTTTTGAAATTTTAATTAACAGGTCCTGTGTCAAGTATCCTTTCCGTTAAATATTCATATCGAACCGTCACCCTTCTGGGCGGAGCGTCCGCATCATTAGGTATGATACTCTCATTCTGGGAATCATCGGTACCTGTATATATGGTAATTATACCATAGAAGTAAGGGCTTTAATGTTATTTATGACCCTTTGTTTTTCAGTTACGGCGTGCTTGTAGGAATTGGTGCTGGTCTTTCCTTCTCACCAACAGTGTATATTGTGACTTCATACTTTACAAACTTACGCGGATTGGCCAATGGTCTGTGCATCTCAGGCAGTACTCTTGGCAGCATTATTCTCTCTATGAAATTCCTCAAAGTCGAGATTATCTAAGCTAAGGAGGCGTGGCAGGAGACTCAACTAGTCCAGAAACATCCAGGGCCACTGATGAAGCTCGAGGCAAGGCTCAAGCACCACAACGCTCCAAGTTTTTTGATCTGAGCCTGCTAAGGGACCCGATGTACTTAGAAATACTTATCTGTAATTCGACAACTGCCATCAGCTACACGAATTTTATCATATTGCTTCCAAGTTTTGGTGAACCCAAAGGTTTTAACAAATCATCAGCGTACCTGCTATCAGTTGTTTCCGCCAAGGATCTTATTGGTCGTATTGGAGACTCAGCACTTTCTGACATGGGCTACATACCAAAGACGTGGTACTTTGTCGGAGGCTTGTCTATATCGTGTCTTTCCCTTGCATTTTTACCATTTCCATGGTCTTACGGCTCAGTTTGTTTCTGAGGCGGTCAATGATTATAATCCGCTCTTCCATGCTTTAGGACTGACATTGTTGGCTGGGTCCAGCCTTTGGAGCTTTATGCCCTGAATAAATCGCCGAAAGGCTAAACAAGAAAGGAAACTCGATACTGTGCAGATCGATGAAAAGGCTGTCGATAGCTACTAAATAAAGATCAGGCAAAAAACAGTAACTGTATCAAAAAAACGTACAACTACAATTAGTTATTAGGCTTCAAATGGCATACAAACAGTGATGAAGATACATACATACGTGTATATGTGTTTACCGGCGAGAACTATAAAAAAAAAAACGTTTTGACCGCTGTTTAATTGTTACTTCCAGTAGCTTTGTCTTACTGTTAAGTAGTAGATATAACATTGTATAATTACTACACCTATTGTTTACTTAATACTAATAATATAATAGTTTCGACAGTATAAAAATCAATAATGTGTAACACTCCAGGGCTTTCAGTTTAAAATAATAATAAAAGATGGCTCTTATTTAATTAAATTAGTTTTTCGCGATCTCAAAAAACGTGTTGATCGGTCCTTTCACAAAACCAAAGTGACCATATCTTCTTTTCTTAAAATCTAGCTTATTTCTATGCGATAGGACTCTCATCGATAACATATTAGCAAACTGGACACATTAGGGCGCGCAATACAAAATGAGGGGTTTACATTCGGGCAACCTGACACTTGATCGACCTCGATCATACACACATTCCTATGGTTTTATCACACACTTGCTACCACGCTTTTAGCCTAGTAGCCTCAAGGATTCCCTTATATGGGAGTTGCGTAAGCTGACAATTGTCTATATCTGTAATCTCATAACGGTCATTCGGAAAAACACGGTTTACTCTATATGGGCCACGATACTTGGGTGCAAACTTCTTACAATGCCCTGAAGTAACATCAACATTACGAATAGCAACAAAATCATCGACATTATACAACGGAGGTGCCCTATGCCTTACGCCGTATGCGGTTTCATATCAGACCTGTGTATATTCTCGTTTGCTTCGTCCCTTACGGTATCCAAACATCGCAGTTTATCTTGATCAAATTTTTCTTCCAAATACTCAGTGAGCTCATCCACCACTGGACCACGCTGCTCACAACCAAATAAAATCGTACTAGAGGTCTTTCCGGTACTACACTGAACGGTGTTGTTTATAGCGAATTTAACACGTTTAAGCAATTTATACCAATCGGCTTGATTCAGGGACTCTGATAGCTTTCCCAAGTGAAACATGTGCCTCTATCGGAAATGATTCTGCGAGGCCGGCTATAATATTCGAAATATTTTTCTAAAGAGCAGTTGACTTCCCTAGTACTGGTGCAATTGACAGGATATTTTTTTTTTTACATATTTTATTTACAATCTGTCTAGTGACAATAGGTAAATTTTATAACTAATATTTACATAACAGGAGTAGTAGATGTCCAGTGAAACCTACTACTAAATCTAGTTTATTGTTTACATGTCTTTACCTATCAGGGAGATCAAGAATGTGAAATCTTTTGAGTCTTCTTACTGTTAGGCTATTGTCTACGAGACCTAGGGCTAAATTATTTTCGTGATTGTGAAGTCTTGCTGTATATTTCGTACTATATTTTTTAATTTCTTCTCTTATTGTTGGAATATTTAGATCTTTGTGAATGTTTGCGTTTGATACGTAAAATGGAGCGTTAACAATTTGACGCAATGTTTTTGATTGATAGCGCTGCAGGATTTCAATGTTAGGCTACAAACATAGTGCACGCTGAGACGAAGCTGAAAATTAAGACGAAGCTGAAGACGAAAAACAGTGCAGAACAATTCATATGAATTCGCTCGCCCGCAAACATAGTGCGCGCTGAGACGAAGACGAAGATGAAGACGAAACGCAAGCGATCAGCTTCAAACGGAGCAGTACTGTTTTTAAAGACGAATCGCTTGCTATTTTGAGTTGTTCTTCTTCTTTTTTTTTACATTTTAGGGGAAAAACTGGAATTTTTAGGGGAAAATTTCAACTTTTTGAGATAGGGGGAGAGCCAAATTTTCATTTGGCAACACTGCAATTTACTTGTGACTTGCGATTTTCCTGAAGCACATGTTTTGTATAAATGTCTATAATAAATGATGAATTCATTGCAGCCGTTTTTAAAAAACAATGTTTATGGGACCAGCAGAATAAACTATACTACAATAGGCATATTGTGGACCAGAATTGGAATGATATTTCAAAGGAATTGGATGTTGATGAGAAATCCATAGCGACTAACATCACAAAATCGCAACAAATTCGTCTTCCACTATGCAACCTATTAGCTTACTCGCATCGCAAGCAATTCGTCTTCAGCTTCGTCTTAATTTTCAGCTTCGTCTCAGCGTGCACTATGTTTGTAGCCTTAGAATTGCTAGCTGTTCCCCAGAGCTGTATACCGTAGGTCCAAACAGGTTTCAAAATAGCTTTGTAGAGGAGAACTTTGTTTTCTAAAGTAGCTGATGATTTTCGACTTAGCAGCCAGGACATTTTTAGTGCTTTCAGTTTGAGCTGTTGACTTTTCGCTTTTATGTGGTGTTTCCATGTTAATCTGCGGTCGAGGTGCATGCCAAGATACTTCACACAGGTATCTTGTGGAATTGCTGAGCCGTTCAGTGTGACATTTGGACAGTTTCCTGGTCTTAGTGCAAATGTTATTTGGACAGATTTCGAAGAGTTGATTTTAATTTCCAGCGAAGAAACCAGGCTTCAATCAGATTGAGCTCACATTGTAAGAGGTTAGATGCTTCATCTCTAGATGAGCTTGTTGCCAGAATGGCTGTATCGTCAGCGTATGTTGCAACGGTGCAGTGGTTGGTTACTGGCATATCTGCCGTATATAAAGTGTAAAGGACTGGTCCCAGTACACTTCCTTGAGGGACGCCTGCGTTTATGAGAAGTAGCGATAATGCGTCACCTCTCTGCTGAACGTAGAAGCATCTTTTAGACAAATAGGATCTCAGTAATAAATAGTATGGTGCAGGTAGCCATTTCTTTATCTTGTAGAGTAATCCATTGCACATTGGGCCAGCGAGCCGATATATCGACGAAAATTCAAATTTTTCATGGAAAGTAAACCTTTTTTAATAAAAATATTTGAATAGTATATACTTTGACTAAAATGAATCAAAAGATTTTAAATGTTTTGATGCATCCCTGAATTTTTGGCAGCCCTTCAAAGTCAGCTGTATGATTGCATGCTTGCAAAACTAAAAAGCGCGGGTAAGATTTTGTTTACTGGCGAGCGTGCCAAAATTGTTGTGGCTTAACCAATTTTCACAAAAATTATGGAAAACGAAGGCAAAGGTATGTAGAATATTTGTATTAAAATAGACTTTGTTCATGTTAGATAATGTGTTCTTTGTGTGCGTTTATTTGTGTTGTCCAAAAGCAGAAAAAAGCTAACCTGGTAACCCATGTGTTGTAGACTATAACTAATTTTGTGCCAACTTGTGCCAAAAAGTAACTATGTGTCATTAAAGTACAAAGTGTATATAAACTAATTTTATTAAGCTTTTTTGCGTCTTTTTGCACCTTTATATATAAATCCGACATATCGTAGCTGTGGTTGAGTTCGCCTATGAGGAACTGCTGGATGTTTATATAGCAAACAATCGTAGAGAATCTGCCGTAACGAGTTGGATCTACGATAAACTGAAGGAATTCGACTTAAGCACGGAGAAAAAGGATGAAATTAACACCAAAGTGAGAAGCTTTCACCTATACATACATAAGAACTTGGCAAAATGTAGCAGAAATATGACCAAATTTAAGACAAAGCATACCGAATGGCTTCTGTCCAATATGGCTATAACAGTAAGTTCATTCTTGTCTTCAAATCCAAAGACGTCAACATTAAGACCAGTTGGACGCCCACCCATTGAATATGTTGACGCCGGTCCCCGTCAGAAGAGAAAATTGGCATCCGATTTAGCTGTTAATCAGGGTCACAACACATCTCTTCTTGTGCATGCCGCCGCAGTTTCGGCCGAAAAAACGAACGAGAAACATGCAGCCCTTGTGTTAAAAAATACATTTCTCACTTCGAGTGACCCTAATAGAGCTAGAAACAATTTTTGTACGCAGAAAATTGACTCGGTTCGACTGACGGAGGATGAAGCTTTAGCATATCTGCTTGAAAATTCATTATCATCATCAGTACAACAACTTTCGTGAGCTTAGTATTTCCCGATCTTGTGAACTTTTTCCTACTTACAACAAAGTCAGAGAAGCTAAGTCAAAATGTAGACCTTTTAATATTAATATAACCGAGTCAGTTGCTGAAGTTCCCCTGCAAAGTCTTCTAGACCACACTAGTTGCCGTATAATTCAAATGCAAGCAGATATATTTAAGCAGCTTGGCAATACTTTAAGTCTGACCCTTATTGCAAGCTATGGATTTGACGGAACAACCGGACAAAGCAGCTATAAGCAACACTTTTTGGGATGCGATTCATTGCTTTCTGACGACTCGCTTTTTGCGACAACGATAATCCCCCTAAAATTAATGGACCATATTGGAAATGTATTTTGGATGAATCGTACTCCTCAGTCGATTAGATTTTGTAGACCAGTCAAGCTTGAGTTTGTAAAAGAGACAAAGGACCATATTCTTGCGGAGAAAAAAAATTTGGATAGTCAAATAAAAGATTTGTCTTCATATGCCTGCTCCGTTGTAAATGGAGTTTCAATTTCAGTTAAATATGATCTTCAAATGACACTTTTAGATGGGAAGGTTTTAAACATTTTGACTGAAACCAAATCTTGCCAATTGTGTCCGATATGTGGAGCGAGTCCAAAAATCTTCATGGAAAATGCTAAAATAGACTCACCAAAATTTAAGCCAAGACATGAAGCATTAAAATATGGCATAAGTCCTCTACATGGTTGGATTCGATTTTTTGAATTCGTTCTTAAAATTGCATATAGACTGAAACTTAAAAAATGGCAAGTGAGAGATGAAGATGGAAAAAAAGAAATGGCGAAACAAAAAAAGACTATTCAGAAGCAGATGTGGAGTGCTATGGCTTTACATGTAGATAAGCCTAAGCAGAATGGCAATGGAAATACCAACGACGGCAATACAGCAAGGAGGGCGTTTGCACAACCTAAGCTACTAGCTGAAATCTTA